GCCGCGATTGCTGAGTCAGCGGGGGATTTAGATTTAGTACACAAGAGCGAGGGTCGAGGTCACGCAGCCGGGTTTATATCATTGGGGTGCTTCTGCCCGGCGCGCTGGTCCATGTTTGGGTCACTCCGCCTAGGCCGTTTGTGGTTTAGCGCGGGCGGTGGGCTTCCACTCACAGCGCGCCGATTTTTTTTTTCTGCTGCTGAAAGGATCACGTGAGTCCATGAAACGCGTTAGATGACATAGAGCATTTAGATTGATCGGAAATACCTTAATTCAATGTATTGAAGCTGTTGTGATGGAGCACGCTCCCGTGGATATTGCAAGTAGAGAGTTATCTGAGAATTCGTCCAAGCTTTGGAAGAAGGAAGGAGCAATGCCAAGACATGCCAGATGGCCTCTTCAAAGTTCAAGGAATCACAAACGATCAGCAGTGCATGTACATTGATGCAGGTGATAGTCTTCTGATGTTTGAAGGAAGGTGACTAGATCTCGGTGTAATAAATGAATCTTTTCATACTTATATACACGTACAAAGTTTCAATCGAATTTTGTTGCCATCCAAATGCATCAAGCGACCTACCGAAGTATATATCTGCTATATAGATCTTCAAATTCAACGACTTTTTTTTTTTTCCTTCATGCATCATTTTTCTTACCTTCCCCCTCGAGCCAAGCATGTGAATCATGTCTACAAGTCCATATCTTTGTTATGGAGGCAGTCATGGGCTTATGGTGTTCATACAATCTTGAAAGGATAGTTCGTTGAAGTATATAAAGAGAAAACCAGCAATACAAGAACCCCGGGATAAGCGGCTAGGCGAGCGGGACTGATAATTCGACCTCTTTCGTCGTGCCTAATTAAAATCCATGCTTGTATTGTCAATTAGGCTTCTGAGATCGGATATATTTCGCCCTACATGGCTGCTTCTGCCATTTAAATCCATTATGTCCATCATGGACGGAGCAGACCGACATTAAGAATAAAAACTGTCTGTCGTTTAATTGGAGTATCATTTCGCACCGACAGACCTGAAAGTCAACCAGTTGAGCGTTTCTATACAGTCACAGGCTCCGGGCAGAAGTCCCGGGGCGAAAACACGGAATCACACGCATTGAAAAAGAACAAGCACATCCTTCCCATTCACCGTTGCCTCAGCATATTGGCTGCCTCTTCTTCCTTCCCGAGTAGACCCAAGCTCCGGATTTGCTCAGCCTTAGGGGCATTCTCTCGTGGGTGTGCCGCCTCGGCCTTGCGATAGGCAGCTTGCATCTTCATAGTGCGGAGAGCCTGTTGTTCCAAGTTCCCATTTTTAGATTCAGGTCCATCATTCAAGTGTGCACTTATCTCGATCAAATGGGGATTGCCCTTACCTCTTTCCGGTGGTGAAGGCACTCATAGTAGTCGTCCAGGGCGGGCACACACTTCTTCTTGCCGCTCGCACCGTCGCCCGAGTTCACCACGTAGCAACCAAGAACTTCTTGCCAGAAGGGGTAGCAGCGGCCGGGACCTAGAAAAAGCCATACTTCGTTAGCCCTTTATACGCGGGGGCGGGAACTGCGTGCGCAGTTGTGATCCGAGGGCATGCCAGCGCGGATCCGAGCAGGTTCCCCGGGAATGGGGAAAATTAGCACATACCACCGGTGTTACCGTAGCCGGAAGCCATTGTGATGTATGGAAGAAGGTAATTGAGTAAGTGGTAGGCACAGAGACCGCGAAAAAGGTAGTGATGAGGTGCCGGCGGATGCGACTCTTCCCTTTCGTTTCCGACTTGGTCTGTGCGCCCCGCCGTATGCAACATGGCCATCACCAACTATGAGGCCACCTCGCTTGACTGCCCCGTCTCTTTAGCTTGATCATGGCTCTCGAAGAGCTGTCCGATGTACATGCTATTCTACTAGCTACACACCTCTGCGCAGGTGGTAACGTGGCGGACCTGCCTATTCTACAGGCCCGGTTTCCCCATTGTTTTCCGTTGGAACGCCTCCTGCGCATTATCTTGACCTTTCTCCCAGAGAGCACAGAGCCCTCCCAGTACACCTCGGTGCTACGAGAGCTAGCAAGTAGCTCTAACCCGCCATCCGACGACCGGCCGATCGATACATCTGCCGTCCAGGACTTGTCCGAACCGTTCGCAAGGAAGCGCGTGCGGAAGCTTCATCTACGACCACTGCAACGCCCTGATGAGGAAGACGAGATAGCTTCAGCAGATCCTTTGACCAAATTCCTTATCCACCGGGCACATCTGATTGATTTGGAAACAGCACTACAGCCTCTCATCCTCGATCTTATCGTCCCGTTCTACGAGCACTCGCCAATCATTCAAACATGGCTGATATCAAGCCTATTACCATTGCTTCGACTGAACTACGAATTCTACGCCCATCGCGACGAAACTATATCTCTTGAGATCCTTGAATCTATGGACGATCAAACCGCGGTCAACATTCTCCTGTCTTTGATGAGCTCCAAAGAGAATAACATGGACTTGGTCAACAACTTGAAGGGTCTGATTGGACCTTGGCTCTATGGTGGTAATCGATCAAAACGGCGAAGGCTGAACGAAGCAGCTCAGCAGAGTTCGGTGGCTTTCATTGAAGGTTCCGAGAAACCTCGAGCAACCGAATTGGCTGGATGGGAACATGTGAATGAATGGCTATTGTCGCGGAGTCTTGTCGACCGTGACAGCGTTGTAAGCGCTTTCACCCACTGGGACGGACCATCAGATGTGGATTTGGGGGGATACGAGAATGCTGGCACGCAATTGTCCAAAGAGCAGGCGAGAGATTTACAGGTTCGATATGGGCAGTCCGGTCTTGCTGTGATGTATGCCCATGCAGACTCGTCGATGGCTGTGCTGGAGGGCTCGTTCCAGATCCTGACAAGGGTCGCGAAGCTCCTGGATCTTGAAGACAGCTCGTACCTCACTCCTGACTCAGAATTGCCATCTGTGCACTATGATATCGGGTCAATCTCCTCGACATCCCGCGCATCTCTATTGCAGAACTCCCTTTTGAGACCGACGAACCCTCTTACCAGACCGTCACCCCCGTCGATCTCGTTTCTCAGCGCTTTACTTCTCTCCCTCCGTATACTGACCGAACTTGGTCATCTGGTCCCTTGCCGGGTTGCGGCAAATATGTGCCTCCACAGCACCGAGGAAATGCAATTGGCCGAACTCAAAAACGTGGTGAATTCTATCGTGAAGCAATCGAATTTAGACCAAGACTGGTCTAGGGTTCGACAAGGATTGCTTTGGCTTCGGGATTGGCAGGCGGAACAGTCCGACTACGCCTGGGATGAACCTTCAACATACCATGGACTTTTCTGGCGGATCCCGCGCGACACCGTTGAAACGGAGATCTTGAAGGCGCTGCTGGCAGCTAAAGGTAATGTGACCCAAATTCACTCTTCGTTGTCAATACTGATGTTTTTTCTAGAGTATGAATTGGCTATCGATATATACATTAACTCTAAACCAGCGCCACTCAATCCTACCCAAGTGGAAGCTGCGGTTCAAGAGGCCATATTCAGGGCGTATGATAATGCAAGCAACGGAAATCGAACCCGGGGCGGAATGAAGAGAGCTTATGACATGTAAGTGGTGCTACTAAAAGAGGATATATGGACTCGATACTGACAGCAATTTAGCTTACAATCATTCACATCACACTTCCCAGAATCTGTCGTATTCAAACAGATCCACGCCCTCATCGCCGCAACCCATGCACTCTCATACTATTCGCTGACCCTGCAAGACGGTGTTCCATTCCAACCTGTTAGCATTCGTGTCCATCACGATCCCATCCTTTTGATCGAGAAAGTACTTGAGCAAAACGCAAAGAGTTACACCAAACTAGACGATCTTCTCTCCATCGGACGAAATCTAGTGGCCGCAGGTGTGCCCACGAAAGCGGCATCACACGAAGCCGAAGGCGAGCCAACTCACCATAAACCCCAAAAGGAGCACGCCCTCCTCACTGCAGAACGCCGCATCACCTCCCTAGCAATTGCCTCCTCTCTATCCTCCGACGACTTCGGCACAGCCTATTCCTACATCCTAACCCGACTAACGCCGCCGTCCCTCCTCTCAACCTCCTCCCCCCTCCTAAACACCACCTCCGTCCCTGACGATATCACTTGGCGCGCCGTCTACAACGCGGGTCGCTACCGCGCCACAACACCAACCCACCCACCACCAACCCTCCAATCCCAAATCTCGCACCTCTCCCAGAGAATGGAACTCCTCTCCCTCTCTCTCGTCCTCGTCCCATCCCCAGACCCGCTCCCAGAAATCCTCGGCGCCTGGCGTCGCTGCGACGAAGAGCTCGCATCGCTGCGCGCACGCGAGCAGCAAGAAGAAGACCTCTGGGACAGAAAAGGCGACACTCTGACCTCCGTCCCGGGCGGATTCGGGCCCTCAGACTCAGAGCGCGACGTCTTTGACACGGAGCAGCAGCGCGCAGCGCGCCATGCGCGCGCTGTAATGCCCAACTCTCATCGCCACGAGGCGCCCATGGGTCTATTTGAGGTTGCTCGTGGCGCTGCTTTGGCGCTGCATAAAAATGCTTTCCCGTTGAGGGGCGCAGCTGAGGGTTCGACGTCGCTTGCTCCTCAGGATGATGATCGGCCGCTGTCGCCGGATAGCGAGGGTCGTGTTAGGAAGAGGGATATGGTTAGCAATATGATGACCGGGGGCTTGGTTAGTGGGATTGGTTGGGTTCTTGGCGCTGATCCAGTGAAAAAGTAGAGGCGAGGATGATAGGGGTTGCGAGTCACTGAAGGTTGGAA